GATTCGTCCATACCCGGTACCCAGGCCAGGTGTGTACTACTACTACCCCTGGAAAGGCTCTCCCACAGATTGCAGTACAAAAGCCACGGCCAAGTGTCCCACTGAGGTGCGGTCGCTTGCCCGGACCGCTGGGACGCGGACACCTACGAAGAGCAGCCTGTGACGTTTATTTTTTATGACAGAAAATCCGCAAAAAAAGTTGGGCTTGTCCCTTTAGGCTTTCGCCTCTCTATAACATGACCCAGCTGTAATGTCCGTGCTCGCATTGATTTGATTTTTGGTTGGCTTTGAGGGCGCTGGCACCCACATTCAGTGACCCAGAAAATTTGGCACTGCTGTGAATAGTTTAGTCGGAAAGTGAAGATTCACGGGTAAAAAGCCTCAATTTGTGAGATAGGCTATTTTTCAGCTTTCAGCAGCCCTGGGCGAATTCTGAGTGGCTGCTTTTCTTGGTGCACTTGTCTATGTCCAGCTACACAAGGACATGATGACGGTCATTGTCATTTTCTGAGCTGCGAACGGGCAGAAAGGTGAGAGAATGTCGGATTTTGACCATTTGTGCTGACCTTTGAATTTCATTGTACCTCTCTATAACATGACCCAGCTGTAATGTCAGTGGTCGCATCGAGTTGACTTTTGGTTTGCTTGGAGGGCGCTGGCACCCACATGCAGTGACCCAGATAATTTGGCACTGCTGTGAATAGTTTAGTCGGAAAGTGAAAATTCACGGGTAAAAAGCCTCAATTTGTGAGATAGGCTATTTTTCAGCTTTCAGCAGCCCTGGGCGAATTCTTTAGAGACATGTGGCTGTTTTTCTTGGTGCACTTGTCTATGTCCAGCTACACAAGGACACGATGACGGTCATTGTCATTTGCTGAGCTGCGAACGGGCAGAAAGGTGAGAAAATGCCGGATTTTGACCATTTGTGCTGACCTTTGAATTTCATTGTACCGCTCTATAACATGACCCAGCTGCATTGTGAGCGGTCGCATTGATTTGATTTTTGGTTTGCTTGTAGGGCGCTGGCACCCACATTCAGTGACCCAGAAAAGTTGGCACTGCTGTGAATAGTTTAGTCCCAAAGTGAAGATTCACGGGTAAAAAGCCCCAATTTGTGAGATAGGTTATTTTTCAGCTTTCAGCAGCCCGGGGCGAGTTCTTCAGAGAAATTTGGCTCTTTTTCTTGGTGCACTTGTCTATGTCCAGCTACACAAGGAGATGAGGATGGTCATTGTCATTTTTTGAGCTGCGAACGGGCAGAAAGGTGAGAAAATGTCGGATTTTGACCATTTGTGCTGACCTTTGAATTTCAATGTACCTCTCTATAACACGACGCAGCTGCATTGACAGCAGTCGCATTGATTTGATTTTTGGTTTGCTTGTAGGGCGCTGGCACCCATATTAAGTTACCCAGAAAATTTGGCACTGCTGTGAATAGTTTAGTCGCAAAGTGAAGATTCACGGGTAAAAAGCCCCAAACTGTCAGATAGGTTATTTTTCAGCTTTCAGCAGCCCTGGGCGACTTCTTTAGAGAAATATGGCTCTCCTTCTTGGTGCCCTTGTCTATGTCCAGCTACACAAGGAGATGAGGATGGTCATTGTCATTTTCTGAGCTGCGAACGGGCAGAAAGGTGAGAAAATGTCGGATTTTCACCATTTGTGCTCACCTTTCAATTTCAATGCACCTCTCTATAACATGACCCAGCTGTAATGTCAGTAGTCGCATTACTTTAATTTTTGGTTTGCTATCCCGCGAATTATTATTATTACTATTTATTATTTGTAGGGCACTAGTGCTCGCATAGATTGGGTTTTTGGTTTGCTTGTAGGCCGCTGGCACCCACATCGAGTTACCCTGAAAATTTGACACTGCTGTGAATAGTGTAGTCGCAAAGTGAAGAATCACGGGAAAAAGAGGTCGGTGTGAGTTTCTGAGCTTCGAACGGGCAAAAAGGTGAGGAAATGTCAAACTTTCGACCTGTTGTGCCCATCTTTCACGCTTCAATGTACCTCTCTATACCATGACCCAGCTCTATTAAATGTCAATTGTCACATTGATTTGAGTTTTGGTTTGCTTGTAGGCCGCTGGCACCCACATCCAGCGACTCAGAAAATGTTGCACTTTTGTGAATAGTTTAGTCGCAAAGTGAACAATCACGGGACAAAGCTCCGAACTTGGAAATAGGTTATTTTTCAGCTTTCAGCAGCCCTGGGCGAATTCTTTAGAGAAATGTGCCTCTTTTTCTTGCTGCACTTCCAGCTATACCCAGCTGTAATGTCAGTGGTCGCGTAGGTTTCATTTTTGGTTTGCTTGTAAGTTGCTTGATCATTTTTGACAATGTGTGTCATTTCTGTTGCGCATTTCCCTTTTGTGGTGTCAGATAGAGTTTATTCACAACTAGCAAGGAGGACAACAAACGAAGAACAACATTCCAAGCAGTGTGCGAACACAAAAGGGAAGTGTGTACGAACACCAAGGAAAGTGTGTACGAGCGCATATGGAAGCAGGAGCTCTAGGCGGGTGCATACGGGGTGCGGGAGTTGCACCATATACGGAAGTATGCCATATACATCATGCCCCTCCTAAGATAAAAACGTACAAGTGTTTATCTAATCAACAAAAATAATGTGAAAATTGCATGTGCGTAGCAAATGACATGTCGCGGAGCAGCAGCAACTTCCAACAGACTTGTAAAAGGGATAATTGCAAAAATTATATACATGAAGGTTTTCAACTGCGAAACAATGGGAATGACAATTGAATAGGTACAATGGACATCAACAACTGAACAGAGCGAGTGTTAATTGTACGATTGTCCACGCGTTGAAATAATGTTAAAGGGGACATTCTGTCGCCGGGGACGTTGGCTTGTTCGAGGTGGTACCTGAACAGTTGACTGTGGCGACGACTGAGTCACAGGGACTGCTTGTGGTGCAGCGTCGGGTACGGGAGACGATGCAGGCATGGCTGTTGAAGCTGGAGTAGGAGGACGGTACGGGCGGAGGTAGCGACGGTTGCGCCAATATACGCGTCCACTCGGTAGCTTGACGTAGTAGTCGCGGTGGTCACCGATAGCCACGACAACGCCGCGGGAAGACCACCGTTTTGTCTTCGGGTGCTGAATGTCAACGTGCGTCCCGATAGACAAGTGGGGGAGCTCTCGGTGAGGCTGACTGGGAGGCTGGTCTACGCGATCAACATCATCCATGTCAGATGCGGTGTCTTGCCAGTGGGAGTCGAACTGGCTCCATTGGGCGAGAACGAAGGAGACGAGTGGGCGACCATACAGTAACTGGGCAGGACTCTTTCCCGAAGTGCCAGGAGTATTGCGCCACTCGAGAAGGCCACGCTGGAAAGCATCGGTGTCTAGATTACCATCATTGGTAGTCTTTTCCACCAGGTACTTCATTGCCTTCACGGCTGCCTCCGCATGTCCGTTCGACTGTGGGTAGTGAGGGGACGACTTGATATGACGGATTCCCCAGCGCTCGCAAAATTCAGCAAATCTGTGAGACGCAAACTGAGGACCGCCGTCCGTTGAAATGACCTGTGGTACGCCTACATCTGGGAACCACCTGCGGAAATGACGAATGACGTCAGCTGACGTGGCTGAGTGACCAAGCTTGGCGATGCATGGCCATCCGGTTAAGCGGTCGACGAATACCAAATACTCGCAACCTTGGCAACTGAAAAGGTCAGCACTAACACTTTCGAATGGCAAAGTGGGCTTGCGGTCAGAAATGGGCGGTTCGGCAGACTGAGACGGCTGAAATTCACGGCATGCATCACAGCTGCGGACTAGCGTGTCTAACTCACTGTTCATTCCGGGCCAATACACTGTCTGACGGGCACGTCGTTTGGTACGGGTCAGACCTTGGTGGGCTGCGTGAAGGTCGATCAGCGTTGACGCACGCAGAGAGGCTGGGACGACTATGCGTAGACCTTTCAAGACTATGCCATTGTCGGTGGACAAATGTTCACGCACGTTCCAATACGCACGAAGAGGCTCGGGCAGCTGCTTTTGTGCTGAGGGAAATCCGTTCTGGATATACCCAAGTAGCATCTGGTAGTCAGGATCAGATGCTGCTGCGGCACGGAGCTTAGCGAACTGGAGACTCTGGGGACCATCTTGGAGTAAACAGATACGGATACTGCGGCAGGACAGTGCTGGATCTTCTCCAAGTTCATCATCACTAGTCGGGATTGATACAGGATGCCGTGAGAGGGCGTCTGCGAATACGTGCTACATCATCACCTTTGTGTGCCGATTTCAGGAATTCACGGCGGCCAATGTCCATTTTGCAGCCGTGAATAGTCGGAAAGGTGAGAAATGGTGAATTTTTTGGAAAGATGAAGGATTAGGCCATGCAATATATACAAAAAGATATGAAAAATGTAAAACACACAGCCAGTGGGGCTCTATTTTATTTTTATGCCCAGAAATTGCTATTCACCACATAGGCAGTGCCCCTGGAAATTTGACCCTGCTGTAGCTGGCTTGAGTTCCAAGTCCGGATGTACACGCAAAATGCCCCAATCTTGGAGACAGGTTATTTTCAGGGTTCAGCAGCCCTGGGCAAGTCGTTTATGACAATGTGTGTAATTTCTGTTGTGCACTGCACTCTGTGTGCCTATTGCGGGAATTCACGGCGGTCACTGCCCATGATGCAGCTGCGAACGGGCAGGTGAGAAATGGTGAATTTTGACCATTTGTGCGCACCTGTTCATTTCAATGTACCTGTGGGTTAATGGGCCCAGCTACAATGTGGATCACGAAATTGCTTAGATTTTTGGTTTGCTAGTAGGCGGCTTACACTAGTAGGCAGTGCCCCAGGAAATTGGACCCTGCTGTAACTGGCTTAAGTTCCAAGTCCGGATGTACGGGGAAAAGCCCCAAACTTGGAAATCGATTATTCTCAGATTTCAGCAGCCCCGGGCAGGTCATTTCTGACAATGTGTGTCATTTCTGTTGTGCACTACACTTTGTGTGTCTATTGCGGGAATTCATGGTGGTCACTGTCCTTGTTGCAGCTGTGCATAGTCGGAAATGTGAGAAATGGTGAATTTTTGACCATTTGTGCATACCTGTTCATTTCAATGTACCTGTGGGTAAATGGGCCCAGCTGCAATGTGGGTGCTGGAATTGCTTAGATTTTTTGGTTTGCTAGTAGGCCGTTTGCACTCGTAGTAAGTGACCCAGGAAATTTGACCCTGCCGTAACTGGCTTGTGTCCCAGCTCCGAATATACGGGGCAAAAAGCACCAAACTTGGAGATACGGTATTTTCAGGGTTCAGCAGCCCTGGGCAGGTCGTTTAGGACAATGTGTGTCCTTTCTGATGGCCACTACCCTCTGTGTGCCGATTTCAGGAATTCACTGCGGTCACTGTCCATGTTGCAGCTGTGAATAGTCGGAAAGGTGAGAAATGGTGAATTTTTGACCTTTTGTGGGCACCTGTTCATTTCAATGTACCTGTGGGTAAATGGGCCCAGCTGCAATGTGGATGCAGGAATTGCTTCGATTTTTGGTTTGCTAGTAGGCCGCTTGCGCTCGTAAGCAGTGCTCCAGAAAATTTGACCCTGCTGTAACTGGCTTGAGTTCCAAGTCCGGATGGAAAGGGCAAAAGCCCCAAACTTGGAGAGAGGGTATTTTCAGGGTTCAACAGCCCTGGGCAGGTCGTTTATGACAATGTGTGTCATTTCTGTTGTCCACTACCCTCTGTGTGCCTATTGCAGAAATTCACGGCGTAAATGGGGCCCGCTGCAATGTTGGTGCTGGTATTGCTTAGATTTTTGGTTTACTAGTAGGCCGCTTGCACTCGTAGGCAGTGCCTTAGGAAATTTGAAAAAAGCCCCAAACTTCTGTAACTGGCTGGAGTTCCGAGTCCGGATGCACACGCAGCCCTGGGCAGGTCGTTTATGAAAATGTGTGTCATTTCTGTTGTGTGCTATCGCAGGAATTCACTGTGGTCACCGTCCATGTTGCAGTGGTGATAACTGTAAAAGCCATATATATAAAACGAAGTGCTAACTCTAACGAGTTAACGAGGAGAAATCTGTCGTTAAAATAGAAATCCTTATACTGAAATCGATACATATAATGTCCTATTCAGCATTGAGAATGAGTGAGAATCGTTACCTTTGGTACACGTAAACTAGTCAATTTTGGGAAATCGTTATATATGCGCCTCGTTAGAATAATGGCTTTTACAGTAGTCGGAAAGGTGATTGGTGAATTTTTGACCATTTGTGCGCACATGTTTTTTTAATGTCCTTTGTGTAAATGGACGCAGCTGCAGTGTGGGCGCTGGAATTGTGTTGATTTTTGGTTTGCTAGCTGATTTTGTGAGGTCTGCATTTGCCACTAAGGTGGCCTGCGAAAGCGAAGGCTTGTGTGTTTCTGACCATTCAAGTGATGCTAAACTCGAATCTCGGGAATATTATTGTTAATAGTAGGCCGCTTGTACTCGTAGGCAGTTCGCCAGAAAATTAGACCTTGTTGACCCTGTGACCCCGTTCCAACTCCGCGTGCACGGGCGAAATGCCCGAAACTTGGAGATGGATAATCTTGAGCTTTCTGCGGCGCATAATGCGTTTGATTTCTGTGGTGCACTACCCTTTGTGCGCCTATTGCAGGAATTCACGGTGGTCATTGTCAGTGTTGCAGCTGTGAATAGCCTGAAACATGAGAAATGGTGAACTTTTGGACCATTTGTGCGCACCAGTTGGCCAAGCTGCAATGTGGGTGCTGGAATTGCTTTGACATTATTTTGGTTTGCTAGTACGCCGCTTGTACTCGTTGGCAGTGCCCTAGGAGATTTGACCCAGCTGTTACTGGCTTGAGTTCCAAGTCCGGAAACACGGGCAAAAAGCCCCAAACTTGAAGATGGTTATTTTCAGCTTTCAGCAGCCCAGGCAAGTCGTTTATGGCAATGTGTGTCATTCCTGTTGTTCACTTCTCTTTAGTTGGAAGGTTGAGAAATTGTGAATGTACTGTCGTGGACGTGGAAATCCGGTCGCACGTCTAGCGGCCCCAGGGCGCTAGCCATGCAGCCGAGGATAAGCGGAATGCTGAATGTATATGCACTGCAGCGCGCTGGTCGCATCGGATCAACATGACTGCACGCAGCGTTCTGTACGCGCTGAGGGCGGCGGTCCCGGTCAATCGACTGGATTTCTATGTCCGCTACAGTACCTGTGTGTAAATGGGCCCAGTTGCAATGTGGGTGCTGGAATTGCTTTGATTTTTTGATTTGCTGGTAGGGCCGGAAAGAAAGAATTTGGTACAGCACTCACACTTTTCCCTTAACATACCAACACTCAAATACCCACCCACACACATGTACCTCACCTGCATTTCCCCAATCTACACTTACTTCAACACTACTCGCTGCTCACGTAATAGCGCATCCAATAGTGCTAGCTTTAGATTATCAGTGTTGGTTGTATCAGTTTTACTTCGAAGTAGATCTAAACTTTATGGTACCATAATCAATATCTTTCCTTCGTCGTCCAACTCTCGGTGTGATGAAGATTTCGTTCAAATCATATTGTCCTGTTGTTCTCAAGTATGAGTGCGAACACTTTACTTTCATCGATATGAAGATTCTTGCCTGCCGACTTTTTGATCATTTTTTAGCTCATCCTACCTCTGAACTTCCCACCTGAAATGTTTGGTCAACCGCCCTCAGCTACCATTATTTTATTTTATTCCAAGCAATACATGGCTGGGGTAGCCAATGACCACTTTGCGTGGCGATTGCAGGGTTTTTATAGCCAACCACGGCTATCATGCACAGAGTGCAAAATAATTGTGTACGGGTTCATCACATGATGTGAAGTTCTGCCGTCGCGGACCCCATACTCCATAGACTAGAGTTGCACACTCTTGGGGGTTATGTACTCTTGATGTTAGGCATCTGAATGTGTGGTGGGCATCTGAACGTGTGGTGGGTATCTGAACGTGTGGTGGGTATCTGAATATATGGTGGGCAACTGAATGTGTGGTGGGCATCTGATTGTGCGGTGGCATCTGAATGTGTGGTGGGCATCTGAATGTGTGGTGGGTATCCGAATGTGTTGTGGGTATCTGAATGTATGGTGGGCAGTGGGCATCTGAACGTGTGGTGGGCATCTGAATATGTGGTGAGCATCTGAATGTGTGGGGTGTATCCGAATGTGTTGTGGGTATCTGAATGTATGGTGGGCATCTGAATGTGTGGTGGGCATCTGAATATGTGGTGGGCATCTGAATGTGTTGTGGATATCTGAACGTGTGGTGGGCATCTGAATGTGTGGTGGGCATCTGAATGTATGGTGGGTATCTGAATGTACTGTCGTGGACATGGAAATCCGGTCACACGTCTAGCGGCCCCAGCGCGCTGGTCATGCAGCGTGGATAAGCGATACACATGCATTGTACTACTAGTAAGTAGTATGCGGTCTAGTGCGCTGGTCGCATCGGATCAACAAGACTTGCACTGCAAGCAGCGCTCTGTATGTGCTGAGGGTGCCGGCACTGGATTTCCATGTCCGCTACAGTACATGTACATGACTGTGCACATGTATGGTGGGCATCAGAATGATTGTATGGGTGGGCATCTGAATGTATGGTGGGCATCTGAATGTATGGTGGGCATCTGAATGTATGGTGGGCATCTGAATGTATGGTGGGCATCTGAATATGTAGTGCCCTGCCTTGCTAGTACTGAACTGTAGCTGACTACTTATAGCGTATATTTTATTGTATTCCCGTACGTCTGTCGCCCTATAAAAGCAGCTGGGCGTTACTGATTTCTACACAACTGATTTCTGATTTCTAAAACTGCAACAGAGCCGAGCAGAAGAGCTGTTCTGACCTCCAGGTGTCCACCGGAGAAAGTTTCTTTCTTGCCGCTTCTCTTTCTTGCCTTTTTACATGTAATCAGGTGTGTACCTGAGAAAGTTCGATTTAAAGTTAATTCGTGTTGATTGCCGTGCCTCCACTCGGCTACCCACTACGAATGTCTTGTGGGCATCTGAATGTCTGGTGGGCATCTGAGTGTGTGGTGGGCATCTGAATGTATGATGGGCATGTGAATGTACATGTACATGTATGGTGGGTATCAGAATGTACTGTACGGTGGCAGTGTTGCCAACCGCCCGCATTTGTCTGTAGTTTTGTCCGCAGTATGGATTTCAATCGAATTATTCAATTATTCCGCAAACTATCGTGTATGATAGATTACTAAAACCTTTGTGTTGGGTTCAGTTAGACAAGACAACATTGGTGCTAGTTTCAGTTCTTGTCCAAAACAAACTCAAATCAAATATCCGAATCCAAAAACCTACAATTGTAGTGTACGAAACTTGTGACAGTGCCCATGCGCTTGGGCATCAGTAAGCACGCAGAACTTTTGTTAGCGATGACATGAAAGATCCGCTCACAAAACATGCATAAAACACAGAATAACAATAATAAAAAAGAGACCCATGACGCATAATGATTATGTACACAGCACATACATGTACATGTACATGTACATGACGTTACATTGTATAAATAGGTGGGAATCACACTCCTGTGATCACAACACTTCGTAACTCCATCGTTTCTTGTGCAAATTCAACACTCGAAGGGTCTACGTGGTAGCGAAACCTCCAAGCTGTCCAATGCAACAATCGCCGAAGAGTGACGATGTTGGATTCCAGAGATATCAAGCGCCGTGTTCCGGTATTCCTAGCTCGGCAGATCCAAATTTTTGATCGATCTCTTCGTCATGTTTGGAGAAAATGCCTTTTCGCATGCTCTTGGAGCGACTGAGCACATCATTATGGCGTAGCCGGTTGAAGTCTGAATTGCGTCAAAAACATTTGAGCGTTCTGTGATGAAGGAGAGTGGAATGGTGATGATGGGACAAATATGCTTGCATATTAGGCTTGAAGACGACTTAGCTGTGTTACGGCGCCTGATTTGTGGCAGCTTCATAATGGCGTTGCTCCTGCCAAGAGCTTTCCAACGAGCCCTAGATTGTGATAATCAAGCTACGTAGACCACGGTTATGACCTGGTGAGGTTGAAAATTGTACTGAATTTGGGAGGTTCACAAGTGAACTCTGTGACTGGAAAAGTAGTTGTACAGTATCTCGTTTGTTCCTCCAAATTACACTACAAATCAGTCAAAATGTTGACCCAAAAAATGAGGACGAAAAACTGAAAAATGGCACTGGGAAATACGCTTGGGGGTAGAGCGCATTTGGTAACACTGTGGTGGGTATCTGAATGTAGGGAGGGCCCAAATATGCTTGCGCATATTTTGGTCCTTTTGACACAAGGTCGGATAAAGTACTTGTAGCAAATCTAGCATACGAAATGTAGCATATTTTGCTACAAGGAGCATAGAATTCGCATAATTATAGGGCAGATTGCGGAAATGGACAAGGAAACTTACCACAGCACGCTCGGTCAGGGAACACTTCCAAACTTAGCCCGGAAGGAAAAATGCTCATTCAAACACGTGGCGAAACTTTGACCCGAGAAGAGAGTGTCCGCGACTCAAGGTCGCATAAAGTAGCAAATCTAGCATATTGTACCAAATGTAGCATATTTTGCTACAAGGAGGAAAGAATTCGCATAATTATCACTGATATCAGTTCATATTTCGAGCATATTCTGCTTTTGTGTGATTTCGAAGCATATTTTGAAACAAATGGCCAATATGCGAAAAGCATAATATGCGAAATTTTTGAGCATATTTGGGCCCTCCCTATCTGAATGTATCGTGGGCATTGGAATGTGAGCCACGCTAAAAAGTGGCTTAGCGTTTTGCCAACAAATCGAGAAAATCACCAAAACGTCACAGTTGGCAACAATCTACTCGAGCGCAGTTGCAAAAATATTCACTTTCGAGCACCCTTTCAAGTAAATAGTTTGCCAGTCGAGAAGAAGAAAGAGGACTTTCTATTTTTGAGCAACACTTCTTCAGTGCTCCCTCTTTCATCGTTGTGGTGATTTCTCGGCGCTGCCAGAGATCATAATGGAGCGTTCTGGAGAATGTGGAGGTGAGCAGGACGACACTTTATCTCCCTGTGCGCCCAACCCTACTTGACGAGGAAGTCTCGCTCATCGTATTTCTCATCGTGGCCATGACGAGAGCGGCTAGTATAGCTATGGGGAGACGTATACAAGCTGTCCGACTATCATTCTGACAAGCTGCGTAGTGAGTTGGCTCTTGCTGCGATGTTTCACTTTGTTTCGGCTACTTTCAGATGTTCATGACGTGGCGTACTGTATTCCAAAATCTCCTCATTTCAAGGCCAATAGTGCTACACGACGAAGCGATGCATTGACTCTACCTGCTAGCATATCGTCCCGTGGTGCCTTCTACCACTACCTACACCAGGGAAGGAGAGTGACATGCACTAGCACGGACAAAGAATCAGTGCCGCTTTTTAGCGATGTGCAGTCTGCTGGACCTACGTGCAAGGGACCAATGGAGCTCGATCTCTGGCACAACACTACGAGCTACATGAAAGGATTAGTAACTGTTCATTCTGGTGTAGGTGATTGGAGAGAGTATGACGGACTGTCTTGGTAAGATGCGGCGTTTCTCAGCCCAGCGAAAATAGTCACAGACTCGTGCACAACATGAAGGATATGAAAATTCGTTTTGCGTGATGAAATGAGATGAGAAACATAGATCAATTATTTCTTATTTCTTGGATCTTCTAATTAGCCTTTTACTTCTCAATATGTCTCTTTTGGAAGCGGAGCAACTTGCCTCAGACAGAACGCACTGGCTCGACGTTGTCGACAGATGCATGACCCTCATTTGATTTTTCATATGAGCTATATGCGTGCTGTATTATTATTATTATTATTATTCTAATTAAAAAACAAGTGCTCGTTCTTCTTGTATTGCTTCCACACCTGCTAGGCTTTGTCTCCACTTGGTGTCCCATGTTTTTTGGAGTTTGGGCAGGTCTTCAAATCCTTAGTGTCATTGATACCAGGCATGCTGTGACATGTGCGCAATGTACATGTATACTTATTTATGGCACATATACATTTCAGATGTATACTTATTTATGGCACATTTACATTTCAGATGGGCACCAAAATTTCCATGATGGAAGTTGGATAGGTAGACATCACTTTGGCATGAAAAATAAAATTCCAAAAATTGTGCCTAAGCTACCTTTTTGCTTGGCTCGGCTCATGTATTGTGGGCATCTAAATGTGTGGCAGGCATCTGAATGTATGGTGGGCATCTGAATGTATGGTGGGCATCTGAATGTACATGTATGGTGGGCATCTGAATGTATGGTGGGCATCTGAATGTATTGTGGCGGGTATCTGATTGTATGGTGGGTATCTGAATGTATTGTGCGCATCTGAATGTGTGGCGGGCATCTGAATCTACGGTGGGCATCTGGAAGTGTGGTGGGTATGTGACTGTATGGTGGGCATCTGACTGTATGGTGGGCATCTGAATGTGTGGAGGGCATCTGAATGTATGGTGGGTATCTGAAAGTGTGGTGGGCATCTGAATGTATGGTAAGCATGTGAATGTGTGGTGGGCATGTGAATGTGTGGTGGGTATCTGAAAGTGTAGTGGGCATCTGAATGTGTGGTGGGCATCTGAATGTATGGTGGGCATCTGAATGTGTGGTAAGCATCTGAATGTGTAGTGGGCATCTGAA